AATCAGTTTGTTTACGGCTGCTAATTATTATTGCGAGTGAAGGGTGCAAATGATAATGAAAAGGTTTCCAATGTAATTTAGAGATTAGAATCGCTATAGTTACCCTAAGGATGAGAAATGTGAATTCAAGCTTAAATAATTACTGTTCGTCATTGGACAAGAATTATGGAACATTTTCTAATTTCTTAGCTGTTGAGCAATGAGTCAGAAATGAGCCATTTGTCACCTTTGTCAACATTCTTCAACATGTCGCTTATAATCTTATTGCAGGAACAATGTTAAACACCATTTTTGCACATGGTATTGTAACTAATCTTATATGTGCTTCATTTAGATCTGGGATAAGTGTTTGAACTATGGCTCGGGATTTCCACTGTGGCGTGCTTCTATTGTGACATATCCATACGTAATTTTGTGGGACGACATAGTGGAAACGTATGAGTGTAGTTGGAGCATATACCCTATATAATTTGAAAATCAGCTAGGAAACTAACTTCAAAGTGAAGCATTTTAGTCACTAGAAGGTGTCACCTGGGACGAACTAATATAATGTTTGCATTAAAAAAAAATTGACTTTCGGATGGTGATAAAAACAGCTAGACAGATAATTTATTTTGTTAAATTTCCCATGGAAGGTAATTATTTAAGCTTATTTGCAAAAAAATTCTACGCCCATGTGTGTGGCCTTCCAGCAGTTAACCGGAACATTCACCATGGCGGACGAAAACATGCGTGTAGGCATGTTTTTGAGTTCTTTCTTCGTTTTATTTATCAATTCCTCCTCAGTTTTCGCGACAAAATTGTTGGAGTAGATATTACGCTTCAGAATGGCCTAGAAATTCTCGATGGAACGCAGCTAGGGGACGTTGGGCGGGTTCGCCAACTTCGGTACCACATCGATATTCAGCCGCTCCATCTCCTCCAACGATCGCTTCGAGTAGTGGGCCGACACCAGATCCGGCCAGAACACCGCGTCTTCACCCTTATGGTATTTCTTGCTGAACGACGCAACTTCCGGCAGGCATTTCGTACTATAAATTTCCCCGTTCACGGCCAGTCTGGAGCGAAATAAGAGCGGCTTTGACATCCCCTTCTCGCTGATTGTCATCCACAGCAGCACCTTCTTGGGGAACTTGGTGTGTGAAATGAACTTCACCTCGGAGCTCACTTCTTTCGTGGGGGAAGTAAAATTCGAAGTGCCCTGCCAGTCGTTACCGTCCAGGGTGAGATAGGTCTCGTCGTCCATCACCACCGCCACGTCGCGATTCGCCGGGAAAAACGAGTTGACCATCTTATTCAGCCGCTGCCGCTGCGTCATTGCCTGCAGCTTCAAAATTAGTGGACGTGACTTCCGCTTCCTGACATGTATCTTCATGTTCGCCAGGTACTTTTTCACTGTTTGGCCGGTTGCACCGACCTCCCGGCCAAGCGCACGCACCGATGTAGCCACATTTCCCTCGGTCTTCCTCTTCAACATCCTTTGTTGCTTCTTGTAGCTCAGGGTCGTCGGCCGTCCGGAACGGGGCTTCCTTTCGATGCTCTGATTGTTGTCTAATAGTGTCAAGATGTTGTAGATGCCGGAACGGGCGTATCCGGCGTCCACAAAGTCTTGCACGACGGACGTTTTCGACGCGGCGGGGTGCCGTTCCTTGAACGCGCACATTTTTGAACGGAGTTGCTCCACTGTTTTTGCCATCACGTTTAGAGTTCGACTGATAGAGCTGTCAAATTTCGTCTGCTGACTCATGGATTACTATGATTGATGCTGCATGGGTGGTTTTGTCAGTGCGGGTGAAGGTAAACCCATGAAAAATCGACAATTTTGTCCATTTTTTTTAAATGCAAACGTTATAATAAATATAGGCCAAAGTCAAAAACAACTTGATACACGTTAAATTTTAGATTACATTCAAAAGTGCAGGTACTAAATAAAGCCAATGTTATAATTGATAAGGTAGATTAGAGATTTCAATTTTTTATTAAATAAGGCTAACGAGATATCATTATCATCAAACGAACTTTAAGGGGAAGCTCACCGCTCCGAAAAAAATAATTACGTTTTGATTTTTCTAAAAATATTGGAAAAAGATATCAAAATTCTAAGAAAATCACATATTTTTTTAATTTTTCAAAGAAAATTCACGTGCAAAAACATTTTTTATAAGTCATTATGGCATAAAGTTGGACTCAAAAAACCACAAAACATCGACTTTTCGGTTTTGCTGAGAGTCCAATTTTTTTTCATGATGAGATAGAAAAAAAATTTTACATGTAATTTTTGACAAAAATCTAAGGAACAAACTGATTTGCTTTGATTTTTGTTATTTTTTCCCAATATTTTTAAAGAAATAAAAATGTACCGAAAATATTTTTTAATTTCGGACCGGTAAGCTTCCCCACAAGACAATTAAGACAGTCTAATAACATTAAGTAGGCTAGGTTGTGTGGGGTCCGCTTAGGGAGGCAACTAGTCTTTAAAGCAACTGGCAACTAGCCTTTTCATATATTGTCTGTCAAGTCCCCCCCCCCCCAATAACCGACCTCTCCAATCCCTTCCCATGGCGTTCAAGTGGTCCGCATAGACTATTCAGCCCTAACCCTTCCTTTATCCTCGGCTTTGGATTGACTTGCACTCCCATTGCCCCACCAAACGCTGCAAAATGAAAATGAAAAGTTAACAATCTCCTATGCTTGATATTGTTTCGACTAGTGTTCCCATTTCCTCGTCGATTTTAACGACCCAGGAATTTAGAAACAATGGATGACTCATCCTGATAATTCCTGGGAATTGGAAAATACTTTTATCCACAGCTGCACCGGTGCTGTAGTGGTGAGCGTGATAACCTCTCACCCCAGTCGGCGCCGCCGGGATGTTCTGAGGCATAACATCTCTGATCACGGAAGTAAAGCCGTTGGTGCCCGGTTCATGAGTTGATCGGTCGATAGGTAGGGTCCAGGTGTGGGAGATGCCTCCCTGGAGTCGGTAGCGTTGGTGGTCAGCGCGGAAAACAATCTCGCTTACCACTACACCACCGGCACCGCTAATACCGAATATTTAAAACCATTGATACCGATAAGCTTAAAAACAATCTGGCAACGCTGCTATGTACAGCTTTTTTGAGTTTCTCATTAATTGGTAAATTATCTAAGTTTCTCAAGAATAATTTTCTTTGGTCGAAATTCTCTATAGTTCGGAGATGCATCAAATACCAGATGATTTGCTAATCCGACACTCAATTTCGTACGACTAGGGAACAGCGTTACTTCGTCGTGATTGTCCATTTCCGTTCTATCGAGCAGAAAACATCAGTATAATCAATGATTTGCACAAATCACAAATACGATTGTACTGATGCGTTAGTTCACAAGGGGTCGTCCATTAATTATGTCACACATTTACGGGGGAGAGGGGGTTTTGAAAACTGTGACGAGCCATACAAAAAAAAATTAAGGTCCACACAAAAAATGTGACAAAGGGGGGAGGGGGGGTTGAAAATGGGCCAAATTTGCGGGACATAATTAATGGACCATCCCCAAGCTACAAGACAAAGCCTATTAAAGCGTATTGTGTGAATTGTTCTCAAAACAAAAGAAGCGCTTCTAAAAAACTCGCTTTTTCTACCTTCATCCGTTGGACAAAGAAAATCCAATGGCGTTTCAATGCGTTGAAACTCGTAGGACGAATTTGGAATCAAGAAGCAGTGTTAGATTTTTAACAATATCTCAACAATGTGTAGGTCTTTATCAAATTCAACGGTATTTATTGAAAGGGGAGTAAATGTAGAAGTCATATTTGATAGAAAAAAAAATCATTTATTTTTAAAATCCGTTCAAGAAAGAGAGGTACAGCGTGGGTTGTGCTTAGTAGGACGGAAATTAGATCAAAAACCCTATTGCTAACGTCTTCTTTGCAACACAGTTAATACAAGTGATGATTCTGAGAAATACTAAAAGACCCTGCTAAATTTAACGAACTGCTATTAGTTTAGTTCGCAGTGATAGTCAACTTTTAGATGTGTTTGGATGGTCGAAGTACCCGAAATTAGGGCTATTACTGTTTCATCTTAAAAATTTCCCCATAACGCTATAGAAATTCTATCCAGAAAATATTCGGAAATTTTATACATTTCTTTTATCAATTCCATTCCCCACAACAACAAAATTACGCTTAAACGCTCGTTGAGCCCTGGATACATGCTTCAAAACAACTAACAACTACAACACTGATCGATCAAGGATATTCGTAGATGCTGTCCATATATGGAGTAGACAGTTTTGGTTGACTTGACAAGTGTCTAGGGTAAATACGATAAAAAAGGGGCTCAACATAATTCGTAATTTATGGACAGTTCAAAGGCGTTACCAATATTCAACCCAGAGATCTGGAAAAAGAAGCAATGCATGTTGATGTTTTAAAGATATACTTGGCGAAATGTCATTCTAAATTATTACCTTGATGAATGAAGCAATGGAATTTAACATTAACACTAATCGACCACAACAGACGGCATGATTTTGAGTTGACTTTATCTTATGTCATCATTTCAAACAGCTGGTCAGTCATACTGGTTCGGAGCAGTGTTTTTCTTGGTACAAATTCGGTTGGATATTTACCGAATATTTGCATTATAGAACTAATTCAAAACAAAATTTTCAATACCGGTACCGGTGCCAGGTCTCAAACTGGACCTGTCCCAAACATATAAACAAAATCAGAAAATTTGATTACTATTTAAGATTCGCAAAGATACCCTGAAACCAAAGGTGATTATAGGAGAGTAACTAAAATTGATTCGAGATATGGCACGCCAAATCAGAAACTACTGTTGATCCGGCCATTTTGTGAGAAAATTCATTCCTACCGAACAGGAAATTGACTGCCAAATTTCCATTGAAGCGTCTCTGCCCAAGGCTCAAAGCCAATAAAATCCCAGTTGATTAGATTTTATACATTTATTGAACAACGCCTATTTTTACAGATAACAATAATAATTTCACATTCACTCAGCATCCACCTGCGCACACTTATCCTTGATCTCCTGAATGGTAAGAACCTGAAAGTCGCTCAACCGTGTCGCCCTGATCTCACCGACAGCCACCAGAACGTCATCCCGTCCCTTCAGTATCATGTTTCGGACCTCGGCAAAATGTTCGATGATCTTCCGGCGCTCCGGCATGATTTGCTTGGCCAGCATAATGGCCTTCTGGATGTGATCGTACGCCATATCGAACCTTCCCGTCGTTTGCGAACGATGATAGAATCCGTACGCCAAGTAGCTCTGGATGATCGCAACGTGTGGCGTGTACTTGCCATACAGCTTGGTGATGATGTCCAGCATTTCCAGCAGAATTGGAATGGCATCGGAAATGGCATTCATTTTCAGCAGGCAGACACCATAGGTATAAAGAGTATCTGCATAACGCCGGTGCAGGTGTCCAAAGGTATGTCTAGCCCGATGAATGGCTTGACTGGATATCAAAGTACCACTATCGTAGTGCTTAGTCTGAAAGCAGTACAACGCTTCAAGTTGAAGAACTTCGATGACGGTTTCTGGTGCGGTAGATTCGTTGATCAGCTGCATGGCTTTTGAATTCCAACAATGACTTTCATCGACTCGACGGGCCTTGAAATGGTGATTGGCCACTTCCAGATAAATCTTGAGGAGGATTTCGCTGTCAGTATCGTCTTCGGTCATCGAGAGCAAGCTCTGGCATGTTTCATCAGCTTCTGCCGTGAGCAAAGCACTTCCTTCCGATCGCAGCAATTTCTGCGTACAATCAAGTACCAACATTTTGTGTAAACGGACATCCTTCACATGTGAGATCAATCGTAATGTTATGTTGAAAACCTCCATGCTTTGTTGACACCATCCAGCTTCGTGCAGATAATTACCAAGCTTCATCGCTTCCATGATTCTTCTCTCGAATCGCGGCGAATTCTCGTCCAAATCCTGACCGTTCACCATTCGGCAGTAGTTCGTCGCCAGATCTGGCAAAACCGGCTTCCCGATTAGACTCGCTTTTCGTAAGCAGTTTTCCAACACCAGCCTATCCGTGACTCCATGAGAGAACATCCGCATGAACAGAACCGGATCCGATAGCTCCTGGTGCAGCGACCGTCTCAATGAAGGATAGAGGGACATTTCTTGCAGAATACTGCTCAATGCCACGGCAGGGAGGTCATGCAGCTCGGCGATTTTCTCGCCAGGCTTTCCAATGCGGTTCAATTCGCTGACGAAAACTTTCACACTCCGCTGGTACAGAGTGGGAACCACTTTCGGAACATTGTTGATTCCACTGAAGCGAGCTTTGTTGATCACGTTGAAGATATCCGGGAGCATCATTTTCGTAGCACTTTTAAACTTTGTTTCGTCTGGAATGATGTTGTTAATCAAACTGAGTGAAGATTTCTGACTGCGGATCGTTATGCTACGGTGCTGTTATATTACGGGAAAAAGTCTTGGTCAGGTATAAATAGGCGATGTTCGTACCCAGAATCACACCTTTAACCGATCTTTGGTAGGTAGCCATGCATGGTAGCGTGGCATCATGGTAGACGTATCTTTCAATTCCCACTGACGAACCTTACCTAACCGAGTGTCTGCAAATGTCAACAATCATTAAATGTACAGAAAACAATGCTCAGCTGCCTGTAGTCGAAGCATCCGTGGAACAATTCAGCGAAGAGAAAAACAGTTTGATGGCAGCTATTCAAAAATCGGAAGGTTCAATAATTTGTTTACTCTTGGCATAGGATAGAATAGCAACACATGTTTAAATAACATTAATGACATAATCGGGCGTTTTTATTTGATAACAGGATATTTTTAAATTCTAGAAAAGTAAATCATCCCCTCAATTAGCTCTCTAATGCATTGAATTTGGGTTTTAGATCTGAGTTTGAGATCACTTAATAAATTATTATTGTTTTAGCTTCGAATGAACTTGGAATCTTTTGAATGGACTTCTGATATTCAGATGCTCTGATTTCTCGTTGGAAGAAATAGTAGTTTCCATTTCTATTTGTCGAAGAGTCAACTGGGTATATTGATATTTGATTAACAAAATTTCAGAAATAAAGAATATTGCAAGGGGCAATCAACTCTGCACACTGTGCCGACACACTGTTTGGCACATTAAGGCACACTTTGACAAGTAGGACACAAACAATATAATACAAAACAGCATCACTGTTGAGAGTTGACATTTTGCAAATCGTTTCTAATGTTCACTACTCGGGTCAATACTTTGTTTACTCACAAATAAAACTAGTAAGAGAATGTCATACATAAAACTGGTGATACAAGCACACTTAGAAAAATTCATGTAAATTTAGGTGCTCTGAGAGTGACATATACGAGCGTCAATTTTGACATAAATATGAGGCATAACAGACGCGAAATATAGCTTAATCAAACGTATTTTTCGTCGAGCAACGATGTTTTCAGTCTTGAAACACTTTATATAACATGACATGCTTGTTTACGTTTCATCTTTTATGTCAAACATGGATTCCGTCACGTGTAAAATGAGTTATTTCCAAGTGTGAGGAATCAATCAAGAAGTTGTAAACGACAAACGGATACCCACCGGTGTTGGGGATCATTCGAAAAATTCTGTAAGTATTGTCTGAATCGTGAATCTCTTCAAACCTAGCAAAACTAAGTCCGTCTCTTCCGAATCACAGCAAAAATCACAGCGGATCGTGTTTTCATCTAGAACAGCTTCTATCAGGGCCTCACTTTAGTCGAGTTCATCTATGTACACCATGGGGATGACAGAACACCTACAATATGCTGTTATTCGTACGAAAAGAAGAGTACCATGCATTCTGCGAAGATTGGATTTAATTGAGGAACGATGAGCATCGAGCATCTATAGCTTGATGAATCTTCATATTCAATATTGGAAAAGTTCACCAAAATGCACTAGAGCTCACGAACTTTTTCCTCGATAAACTTCGTGAAATATCGTGAAATTTTTCCAACGCTCTAGCCCACATGCTGTCCCACTGGAGACTTTATTCCAGAACACATTTCTTATTTATGAACATAACATTTGATACTGTCGTGTGTATCCAATCTCAAAGCGTACAACGAAGGATCAGAGCAGGATCTTCTGCGACAGTTGAGGTACATCATCAATTTTGTTATGCATAATGAACAATACAGAAGAAAACAAGCTTATCATAGGGGGCGGCCAGATTTGGCTCCCGGTCTTGCCGAGTATCTTCGGGACGGATATTTTCACATTTTCTCCTGAGTTTTTCCTCGGATATTCTTGTCAGTCATTAGTCTTAATTGGTGTGGACTTTGATAGGACAACCACTTTATAGCGATGTCCATATAATATTGAAGGGTGTATCTGTAATACTATATGCTCTTGAATCACGAATCGCCCACGTTTGTCATCTATGTGGAGCTGACTGGATTGGGCGGAATCTTCTCGAGTTCTATACAGATCTACAGGCACCTGATAAAGGGCTTCCGCTGAAGTCTGCGGTGACTGAGAATCCTATTTTCAAAGTATGACAGTTCTTCAGGGGAAGGTATCATAATCAGCGATACGATAGGCTTGGGTTATATCTTTGAGGACACGCACTTATAAGTCGATTAGATGATTTAAAACTGGTTCGACGATGTTGCTCCAAACGTGCAATTGAACTATGCTTGAACTTGGAGGTGAATGACTGCCATGATCCAGCAGAAAAATTGAGAATATAAACAAAATTACAAAAGTCATAACTTTCAGGGTTGCCAAACACTTTGATAAGCATACTTTAATTGTCCTTGATAAGTACGTTCGGCAGAGCGCTAGGCACAACTTTTGGCACAACTAATAACTCAGCACGAATTAAGGTGTGCACCCCTTGGAATATTGCATGCAATTAGACTTATCTTTTAGTAAAAGTTTTGTGTTAAACCTTATTGAAAAATTACGGAGTTGATACAAACAACAAATGTTCAGATAAAGGTTTTCGTAATTACAGGTATACATACAACAAATAAAAATCTAGAAAATTGTGATAGTTACTTCATTAAGAAAATTTTCAGCTGGAAACAGATTCGCCTCTCACAACTGGAACTTAATGGTTTGTATTTGCAATCTGTAGAAAAGATACACATCACTTTAAAAAAATCTTGTAGGATTTCGAGATTTTTCAAATCGAAAAATTCTTTAGAAAACAAACATTAGTAATTTTTCGAGATTCTAAACTTTGACCAAAGTCCTTCTGAACTATGAATTAACTCAATGGAGATTTTTCGTAAAGCTGCACTAAGACCATAATAAAGAAATCTTACAGATTTTTTTTACAGATTTTTGTCAATCAGATACAGATTAAAAAGATTTTTTGCGATGAAAAAACCAGATTGAAAATCGAAAAAATGTGGCATCACTTGTTGTAGGGTAGAGAAATACTTCGGCCAAATCGCCCATTTTGGGCCTATCGTGCAGAAAACTTCAAATAAATGCATGATTTCAGAGTTAACAAGTCAATTATACGTTTGGTACGATACTTTAGTTAATAAGCTACGGAACAAAGTCAATGAGAACGCATGATATGGAGGTTTGCACCCATTATTCGCAAAAAAACAAAAGAAGCGCTCCAACCGAACCAATCTTTATCTGCATCCGATAGGCCGAAGTGAATTCATTGGCGTTTCAATGCGTTAGGCCAAGCTTAGAATCCGTAGGCCGAGTTTGGCGTCAAGGAGCAGTGTTAGACTTTTGACAATATATCAACTATTGGTTCCTCTTTATCAAATCTTACGGCACAAACGGAAATTTGGAAGCCATCAGTAAAAATAACTTTCCGTTTGGTGCTAAACTACGCTATATTAAGAAAGACTAAGTGCGGGTTGTGCTTAATAGGCCGAAAATGGGGTAGTTTACCCTATATACAGTTATCTGTTATCTTTTGCTCAGTATTTTATTAGATGGCTTTCAGTTCGGCTCGCGCGTTCTGATCACCACATTTGTAATCAACCAGTTCTGAACCACACTGCCTGGCAATTAGCATAGCATCGGACATAGAATATATGTAGGTTCGTTGGAATGACATGTTGGAGTATTGGAATATAGAAAATATTTCAAAATTCATTGGTAAAACAATGACGTTCTTTGCTTTTTACAGTAATTCAGTGTCGGTTTTTTCTCTTTTAGGATACAAATTCACTGCAACGTTATTTGATATATTGTAGTAAACCCGTGTCCAGTGTTGCCAAATTCATGAATCAAATGATATTTTCCCGCTTTCATACGCTCTCAATATCACGCGTGAAATTGGAACAAAATATCATACTTGATATTGATATTACAAGCCCCTTTGATATTGCGATACTATTCACAACATGTAAAAATGAACCTGAGACTCGACACAAAAATTATTCCGCTGCACATCGTTTTCTTAGAAAGAGAAAGCATAGTTTGCTATCTCTCTATACTCTTCACTATAGATACTATAGATTCCATAGATAAGTGGAGGCAAAGTAGAATGTACACCCAACCGGTGGATGTAAGATTTCTTCACTGCTCTCTCCATGCTTCTGAATATGGGTAGCCTAAAAGCAAACATGAAGCGCTCATTTTCTCGCATACTCGACTTCGTATGCTTTTTCTGCTGGAGAGATTCGAGGCAGGTGTGTGCGTCGTTCTACAATGTTCTACAATGTGCGACGTTCTACAAGCTTACTGGTATAATCGAAAACGTAGATAGAACACGAAATAAAAAAGACAAAAAACCATTACATCGCCTGCATTGTCAATTTCTAACATTTGTTGTGATGTTCATGAACAAAGGATGATAGGAAACGGAACTAACATTCATTGTAATAGATTTTTGGTTTGCGTGTACTCATAACATGGAACATAAAAATATTTTACCTAATGTTCTTCACACAATGTCCATGGAATGCTTTTCAGAAATTATCTTTGAATTTTTCTCTGAATTCCCTATAACTAGTTTTAAGAATTCCTTAGAAGTTCTCTTCAGCTTTCCTATGCTCTGTGCGAAAGTTTATCCAAATGTTCCATGACATTTTTTAGAATTTCTGAATACTATCTTTCACTTTCCTACCTTTGATTCTATTTTTATTTCCATTTCGGCAAGCCAGTGTAGACTACATACAATGATTATTACAATGTTTACTTACATACTATGCATTAATTCTATTCTGTTTTAGCTTAGTTTTTATTTGCTGCTTGGACATAGTGATGTCAATAGTTCCGCAATGCAAATTATGTAGGCGCATCATTCGATTGATTGGGCTATTTTTTGCATAGTTTGTTCTGTACGATGTTTCTGAAAATAAATTCCGTGTTCTAAGATATCGACAAGGTG